TGGTCGCCCCCAACTGCCCTCCCCTGCAGGCCTGGTCACCCCCAACTGCCTCCCCTGCTGGCCTGGTCACCCCTAACTGCCCTCCCCTGCTGGCCTGATCGCCCACAACTGCCCTCCCCTGCCAGCCATCTTGTAGCTGTGGGCACTGCCATCTTTGAGAGCGGGGCAGTCAATTAGCATATTCCCTCCTTATTGACTGTGGGCGCCACCTTTGCAATGGCATAGGTCAATTAGCATATTCCCTCTTTATTAGGTAGGATTCCCAACCCCCACGGTGGTTGATAAAAAGCATTAATTATAACCGGATATTCTCTTAAAAATACAATTACATTATTAGATAGCACTTTATTAAAGAAAATGATATTAAGGTACCCATATATAACAAAGTGATTCTATAATGCTTATAAATTATATACTTTTGAGGCTACAGAAAAGATGAACAACATTAAGAGTCTGCTTCAGAATTTAAGAACAAGATCTCATTCCATTTCCAGCAACAATGCATTTCAGGAGCTAATGATCCTCTAAGTATAACAAATATGATAGAAGAAATAAAAAGAACATCTTGTTAGATGCATCAGTAAGCTGGCTTTCACCTTGAAAGCATTTGCTAAACCTAGTGAATGAACATAGGAAAACAGGAGACAAAACCCCAAACTGGATATCCTTCAAAAGTCAAATGGTTAAGCCATGGTGCATCCATATCATGGAATACTACTCAGAAATAAGGAACATACTATTGATAGGTACCATAATTTGGATGAATCTCCAAGGAATTATATTAATTTTAAAAAGCCAATCCCAAAAGTTCACATAATACATGATTCCTTTTGTACCACATTCTTGAAGTGACAAAATTATAGAAATTGAGAACATATTACTGGTTGCCAGAGATGAAGGTGAGAACTGGAAGAGGTAGGTGGTGTGGCCATAAAAGGACAACAGGTGGGATCCTTATAGGGATGGAATTGTTCTGTATCTCAATGGTATCAATATTAAGATCCTGGTTGCTCTACTGTGTAATAGTTTTTCAAGATATTCTCATTGACAGAAACAAGTAAAGAGTATAAGTGATCTCTGTATTATTTCTTATAATTGCATGTGATAATCTATAATTATCTCAAATAAAAGCTTAATTGAAATAAAAATTTATAAAACAGATAACCAAATGCAATATGTGGACCTAACTCAGATCCTGATTCAAAAAAATGAAGTGTAAAAACAAAATAAAATTCATGAAACAATCAGGGAAATGTGAACACAGATCTAGATATTAAGGAATTTTTCATGTAACATGGAATTGTGGCTACACTGATAATTTTGTTAGGCTTCACAATGGCATAAGGAATATATATATTTTAAAAGTCCTTATCGGTTAGAGATAGCAAGAAAAGGGTAATAGCATGGAGACAGATAAAAAAAAAAAAAGGGCAAATGCTGATAAGTTAGATGATGGGTGCATGAAGTTCAGTGAAACATTCATTCTATATTTTTTTACATTAAAAATGTTCCTTAGTCAACTGTTTTTATAATATTAAAATTAAATGCAATGGCTTTGCCTTCATTATATCATTATCCCAGGTACATGGCAATACGGGGGGAAAAAAGTGCAAATCATTTAAGGTAAAACCCAGGCATCAAAAAATTTTCCACAGATAATTTCCTTGGAAAATATATAGCATAACATTAAAGAGTACTAAACACTCAAAATACACAAGAACAAAGCACCATGAGTGAGGGGCAACAGAAACAATAGCAAAAGCAGCCCTATATCCAATACTGCAATCAAAAACACAAAATGTAAAATAAGTATGTTATGATTCATTAAATGAAAAGAAGCTTGAAGATAATAATAAGCGTGCAAAGTTTTAAAAGAACCAAAAAAAAAAAATCCTAAAACAAAATTGAAATAAAAAACTCAATGGATGAGTTTAACTAATTATTAGAAATAACTTTAGAGCCCTAGCTGGTTTGTGTCAGTGGATAGAGTGTCAGCCTGTGGACTGAAGGGTCCCGGGTTCGATTCCAGACAAGGGCACATGCCCAGGTTGAGGGCTCAACCCCCAGTGGGGGGAGTGCAGAAGGCAGCCAATCAATGATTCTCTCTCATCATTGATGTTTCTCTCTCTCTCTCACTCTCCCTTCCTCTCTGAAATCAATAAAATATTTTTTAAAAAAGAAAAAAAGAAATAACTTCAGAAAGAATTAGTAAATTGGTGGACTGAAATGAAAAAAAATTATCCAGAGTGCAGCCCAGAAAGTCAAAACATTAGAAACTATAAAGGAGGTTAAGAGGCATTAAAAAATTAACACACTGTTTCATGTACAAAAGAGTAGCAATGATGACTGTCACTGGCTCCAGATTGGAACTTAACACTACATTAAATCTGAACATTTCAAAATCTCCCTGAAACTCCAGCTATTCGGCTAAAATTATGTTTATTCAAAATTTTCAGCGGTGATGAGGAATGGCTTCTTGGTGGTAGTGCTGGCAGTAGATGGTGGTGTAATTTTTTGGGGGGGCGGGGGAGGATGGGCAGGAGAGAGGAGACTGAGTCCGCAGGTCCCTTATCCATAATTATAAAATAAAACAGATTATTTTTAATTTTTTTGATAAATTCATTTAATGAAAATACATGTATCAAATACAGTTGTTGTTTTTTTGTGTGTGCGTCTTTTTTTAAAAATATATTTTTATTGATCTTAGAGAGGAAGGGAGAGGGATAGAAACATCAATGATGAGAGAGAATCATTGATTGGCTGCCTCCTGCACCCCCCTACTGGGGATCAAGCCTGCAACCTAGGCATGTGCCCTTGTCCAGAACTGAATCTGGGACCCTTCAGTCCGCAGGCCAACGCTTTTATCCACTGAACCAAACCAGCTAGGGTTGTTTTGTTTTTTCTAAATATATTTCTTTTATTGATTTCAGAGAGGAGGGGAGAGGGAGAGAGAGGAGAGAAAAACATCAATGATGAGAGAGAATCATTGATTGGCTGCCTCCTGCACCCCCCTACTGGGGATCAAGCCTGCAACCTAGGCATGTGCCCTTGTCCAGAACTGAATCTGGGACCCTTCAGTCTGCAGGCCAATGCTCTATCCACTGAGCCAAACTGGCTAGGGCTCAAATATGGTTTTTTACAAAAGCTTAAAACTGTCTAAATGATTAAAATTTTATCTATGTAGAAATACTATATGCCTTATCTTTGTCGAATTGGCATATCAATAAGTCAAATCAGTTGTCAAATAACATTAGTTTTACTTTACACATTTAAAAATAAATATTCTGCTTTGACTTATTTCCAAAGTAAATTATAAAGTTATATAGTGTACCTTAATTCTATTATTTTAATAATGCCAATAAATTCTACTTTATGCAACAGAAGACATTGATAGTATGGTCTAACAAATCAGAAAGACAGGACATTCAGTATGATAGCAATAAAAGCAACATCATGTTAATTTTGATAAAACAATACTAATAAGTCCTTACTAGTCTTTGGAGTCTTTTACACAAACATATTTAGGTCTCTAAAACTTAGAAAATAGAAAAATAATACAGTAATTCTTTATTATGACTTTAAAAGTAAAAAAAAAAAAAAGTTGATTTATGCTTTTTCAAAAAAGATTATGAATGGCCAGTTAATAAGGGCTATTTCAGAATCAAGTACAGTGGGGCCTTGACTTACGAGTGTCCCAACTAACGAGTTTTTCGAGATACGAGCCGTCTCTCGGCCGATTTTTTGCTTTGAGTTGCGAGCTAAAATTGTTACAAGCCTTACAAGCCAGCTTCAGATACCCCACTGTTAGTTGGCGCAGCGAACGTCACAGTGAACGCCACAACATCAGCCCAGCATCACGTGTCTCACTCGTTCCCTTTTTGATTTGACATATGAGTAATTTGAGTTACGAGCTCCGTCAAGGAACGAATTAAACTCGTAAGTCAAGGCCCCACTGTACCACAGAAAAATTACAGCTGCTTTTAAAATAATGCCACCATTCTGCCATTTATCAAATAAAATTAAATGCAGAAAACTGCTATCTTACTGGGTTTTTTTAAACCAATAAAAGCACTTTTTCTACCAATACTTACCATCCACTCAGATATAATAACATCCACTTTTTCTACAGGAAGATGAACTTCTTCAATCTTTCCTTTAATTAGTATGATAGTATCTTCAAGTTTATTTAGTCTGAAAATTACCATAATGAATTAAATTAGTATGTTAAACAGATTCTGAAAACTAGTTAAATTACATAATTTCTTGACAACTTTTCAAATTATTTTGTGGAACTGAAAGTATATTCAAAGTTTATTTCCTGGGCATATAATTACTTTTTGGTCCCTTCATGAATGCCCAGGATTATTGTTAGTTAATAATGCAATATAGTGAACCAATATTTAAAACTTCATCCTGAGCCCTGGCCGGGTGCCTCAGTTGGTTGGAGCGTTGTCCCCTACACCAAGAGGTTGTGGGTTTGATTTCCGGTCAGGGCACATGGTCAAGGCACATACCTAGCTTTCGGGTTGTATGGGAGGCAACCGAATGATGCCTTGATATCTCTCTCTCTCTCCTCTCCCTTCTTCTCTTTCTAAAAATCAATAAAAACATATCCTTAGGTGAGGACTTAAAAAAAACTTCATCCTGAAAAATTCTAATTTTATCAAGAATACATGTCAATAAAGTTACAGGTCTTTTGTTTAAGGGAGGGGTGGAGACAGACAGACTAGCCAACAAAAGTATGTTTTAAAGGGAAGTGTATCATATTGAAGAGAGAATTAGAAGCCAGAAGCCCTTACTTTGAATCCCAGATTCTCTAGCACTTGTCAGCTAAGTGATCTTCAGCGAATTATAATAACCTCACAGAGCCTATGTGCTCATGTGTAAAAGAGAATAATGATACCTGCCTATCCATGTCACGACTTACTATAAGGATCAAATATTTATGAAAGCTATATATATCTTCAAGCACTACATAATGGTAATATCATCGTAATAACAATGTGATGTATGCTGTATAAAACTTGAAATTGTGCTCCAATCATAAATTAATTTTGTCCAATGACATTCATTTGATATTTTTACATGTTTGATCATAATATTAGCACAGACTTTTCACCCTCTCTTTTGTAATATGAAATAAGTAATGAAGTTAAAGAGATCATATCAAAATGCTAAAAGCAAGCTACTAAGTTTATAACTAGTTAGATAAATTCTTAATCATCAGAGGACGTATATGTGAATTATAAAGGATTTTTTTTCCTGCTAACAAAAAGGAATTTCCCACCTCAACTTCATCGAGGTATTTTTAACATAAAATAAAATACATTCATTGTAAGGATAAATTTTGTTGAATTTTAAAACTGAGATACTTGGGTGGCCTCCATCATCATCAATATATAGAACATTTCTATCTCCTCGAAAAGATTCATAGGTGCTCCTTCCCAGAAAATCTTCCCATCTACAGGCAACTACCAATTTTCTTCCCTTCCACTATATCTTAGATTTGTATTTTGAGGAGTTTCATATCAATGGAATCATACTGAATATATCCTTTTGTGTCTGGTTTCTTTCAACAGGCATACCTTTTAGATTCATACATATTATTGTGTATATAAGTAGTTCATTCTTTGTTATTGGTGAGTAGTATGTCACTGCATGATAAAATACAATTTTATTTATCCACACCACTGTGAATGGAATTCTGGACTGTTTCCAGCTTTGAGCTATAAAGAATAAAGCTGCTATAAATATTTGTGTGCAAGTAGAATTGCCCTATCGAATGGCAGTGTATAACTAATATTTTAAAGAAACTGCCAATTTGTTTTAAAAAGTGCATGTACAATTTTACATTCCCACCAACAATATATGTGCATTCATGGTTATTCAAATCCTTGTCAACATTTAGCATTATTAATATTTTAAATGTAACTGCATGGTGAGATTTCACCATTGCATTTTCCTAATGACCAAACATATTTTTAATATGCTAAATGGTCATTTTCCTGTACTGTCTTTTGTGCAAATTTTTTGCCCATTTTAAAACTTGGTTCAGTTGTAACATTATTATTGAGTTTTAAAGAGTTCTTCACATGTTCTGGATAAAAACTTTGTCAGATTTATGTATAGTGAAATGGAGGTGGGTGGGATTCTAAAATAAAATAGATTCATTATAGTTCTTGTTAGTTATGCATATTATAACATATTTTTATGTTTCATACACTTACTGTGTGTTATATTTCACACAAAAGTTTAAAAAAGGGTGCCTATATTATATTTAAGTTTTTTCAAGGGAATATTTCATATAATTCTTTCTGACAAAATTGCTACAATTGCTTACTATTGACTGAAACATTTATTAAGGCTTTAACAGTTACAAACACTTCAAAGAAAACAAAAGCAAGCTTCTTAAAAGAGAAAACTTTTCCCATTGCCTAAAAATATCTTCAGAATGCTTATGCAGAAACAAGATGTGCTCTGTAAGAGGCCATCTGCTCAGGCTGTTTATTGTCTCCTACAAGTTATAATCCTATTTGCATCAGTAATTACTTGTTCAAATATAAATATAGCGGGAAAGATTAAGATTTCAGGGAATACACAGAAAATAAATGACAAAGGCCATAATTCCCAGTAATTCTGTATTAAAATAGCTTAACACAGACATTATTTACATAGATAACCTCTTTCAGGAGACTATTTACCTTAATCACCATCTAATATCTCATTCATGAAAAAAACTATAGATTTTACTTACTGTTCTCAAGCAGCTCCTCACTAAACCTTACTTTAGCATAAAAACATTCTAAATGAATTCTATCTCTGGAAACACCTGCTCAAATACTACCATAGCTTTAATCTATAGAAATATGACATTGCAATAAAAAAGGTACCTTAAGTAAATCTCTTAACTAGTCCAATAGGCAAAGAAATTACTAATTTTTGAGTGTAAATTTGTTAGAAAAATCAACACTTTCCTATCTCATAACAAGATCATAGGTAACTGTCAGTTCTTCTCTATCCTCTCTTATGTCTTCTTAACATAAAAACATCTCCCCTTTCTTTAATTTAAAAGGAAGGAGAATTGGGTAGGGAAGTAAAATTGGCTGCACTAGAGAGAATGAATGACAGAGAGCTGTGGAAGGCAAAGACAAAGAACAAATAACTGAGTCAGTTACATGCAGATGCATTAATTCAGGTGGGAAATGTAAGAATGTGAATTAAGACATTCACATAGTTATTGGGTAATGATGCTATCTATTCCATATACCTGAAGCCATGAACCAAGATAAACCAGGATGACAGCATATTTAAAGTAAACATGAAGATTCCGGATGTGCACCTGGTATCTGACATGGATTTACACTACGACTGGTCACAAAGCAAGTATGTGCTGCCTATGTGACCAGCCCTTTGAAAACTATGAACTCTAAAACTCAAGCCAACTTCCTTGGGAAGAGACATCTTACAAGTACCTCTGAAATTCACAGGTACAGATAAAAGTACATCTGTACTCTTACAGAGAAAGAGGGATTACTTGGGAGCCTGTACATGACCTCTTTCGTGATGGCTCCCCTTTTCTTGCTGCCCCTGGACTATATCCTTTGCTGTAATAAATCTTAGCTGTGAATACAACTTTATATTGAGTCACTGAGTTCTTCTAGGGAGCCACTGAACTAGTTAGGTAGTCACAGGACCCCCCAAGACAGGACCACTGAGTGGACAAGAAATTAAGGAGTTGGTAGGGTGGGAGAAGAAATGATTTTAGTTTCCTTGTAAGGTGTCTTGGCAACCTTCATTAGAAATCTGTGTCTTCTGAGCAGCAAAATATTTTTGTCATTTTAGCCTCATCAGTGGTTCAAAATTCTGTTCAGTTTAAACTCACTTTTCTGTAATTTCTATTAAATTTAGAAACAAAGCCCTAGCTGGTTTGGCTCAGTCACCACACTAATTATAGTAATCATCTATCACCCTGTAAACTTATCACAATATTATTAATTATATTCCCCTTCTCCTTTTCACCCATCCCTCCACTCCTTCCTTCTGGTAAGCATTGCTTTGGTCTCTTGCCATGACTGTTTTTGTTTTATTTGTTTATTTTGTTTTGTTTTAGATTCTACATAGAAGTAAAACCATATGGTATTTGTCTTTCTCTGACTGGCTTATTTCACTTAGCATAATACTCTCTAGATCCATCCATGTTGTTGCAAATGGTGAGATTTCATTATTTTCATTGCTGCTACACACACTACACACACACACACACATACATATATATAATATCACAACTTTTTAAATCATTATGTTGTTACTTTATTCTTCTAAAAAGCCTTTACTCACCATCTAGCATGTATCAATTTGCTAGGTGTTAGGGATAAAAAGATTAAGAAGATAAAGCTCCTATCCTAGAAACTAAAGAAGGACACATAAGCATAACAACAGATCAAAATATTCTCTTGGCTTTTCTTAATGTTTCATTTCTAACAGTATCCTAGACACAGGCAATATAAAATATTTCATCTTTAATGTCATACTGAGATTGAAAATACTGCATTGCAGCTACATGATAGATCAACCTTCTTACGAAAACTCCTCTGCAATAACATTCAAAAGTCTGAATAATGAGCAAGTCCATGACAGAGCTGATGAAAAACAACCAAAATAATAATAAAAATATTACCAGAAGCTACCACTGCTTCCTGAGCGTGAAAATGTACAATTATCTGGCGATTGAATGGCTTTGCTATCCTTAGGTAAGTTTATGTTTCTGAAATGATTATTCACTGCAGAGTTCCAACTATGACAGCAAGAATAAAAAACAATTTCTCATTCCTTCTGTGTATCACATTGAGTTCTATTTGGTCCTGCTAATATAACACCTTTGAACATCTACATTCTTCTTTATACATGTCTGCCACCTCAGAACTATAAGTCTTACCTTCTTCTTTTTATTTATATTTAATATATACTATACGTATAAGCCCTAAGATATATACATACATATATATATATATATATATCAGTTTATTAAAAAAACAAAACTTACTCCATTCTAAACTCATTTCTTTAGAGATGTTAGATCTCTTTTCTAAACAGAGAAAAGTGATAAAAATTATTTTGAACACAATTCAAGGATTGTAAATGGAATACTTTTAAAAGAATAATGAAAAATGCATTTAAAAAGTATCCACCTTTTAGCATGTCAAGTGTTTTTACAGATGTAACCATATGGAGTTTTATTGAAATTCTGCTCTGTACAGATTTCTGACAGAGAAAGAAGCTTCAGAAGAGCTAAAGACAACTCACAGTCTGCTAACTGGAAGAGCTGTTTTCACTGAATGATGGTAGTTCTAGGAAACTACAATTTATAATAATAAAAGCATAATATGCTAATTAGACTGGACAGCCAAATGACCTTCCGGACATCATTCCGGACGACCTTCCAGACAAAGCCGCGGCAGAGGGGGCCAAGGCAGAGGCAGCTGCAGTGGCAGGCGGGGGCCGAGGCAGAGGCAGTTAGGGGCTATTAGGCAGGCAGGCAGAGGCGGTTAGGGGTGATCAGGCAGGCAGGCAGAGAGGTTAGGGGCAACCAGGCAGGCAGGCGAGCAGTTAGGGTTAGGGGCAGGCAGGCAGGCAGGCAGAGGGGTTAGGGGAGATGAGGCAGGCAGGCGAGTGGTTAAGAGCTATGAGGCAGGCAGTCTGAGTGGTTAGGGGTGACCATGTAGGCAGGCAGGCAGGCAGGCCAGCGGTTAAGAGCCAGCGGTCCTGGATTGCAAGAGGGTTGTCTGACTGCCAGTTTAGGCCCAATCCCTGCAAGGGGTCCCAGATTGCGAGAGTGCAGGCCTTGCTGAAGGACCCTCCCCTCCCCCCCGCACAAATTTCATGCACCGGGTCTGTAGTATGCAATAATAAACAACTGTAGGAGACTTTGAGAGCAGATTTCAAGGGAGGAGAGTGAGTACAGAATAAAACTGGCTAAAGTTTAAAATTTTATAGTGTAAGAGAATGGATTTAATCCTTATAAGAATCTTATGAGAGATACTACCATGAACATTATAAATGAAGGAACCAGGATTTAAAGAAGTAATGTGTCCATTATTATAAAGCTAGTAAGTGAAAAAGCCAAAATCAGAAATTAAGTCATGTGATTCCAGATGCTGAGAGAAGTATGCTATGCTGCCTCCTAAAATGGTAGAATAATGGGCCAGTATATCCTGGTGATATTAATAATAAACTGTTTCCTGCATATTCTTTTACAGATGCATTCGCAAACAGAATACCAAAGGTTAATTCACTTTATAGTGTAAATTTCAAGTTTTTGAATGAAAGACAAAGAGATGCTTATGAAGACAATGGAAATAGCTATCTTTCCACAACATAAGAAACAAAGGAGAACATTGCTGAAGAAACGGTACAGTGTTGACTTATCCAAACAAAAAGGCGTGATTTTCAAAGTCTATAGGTTCTAAGTAAAATCAAACTATTGAAAGCAACAAATTGACTATGAAGATGGACTGTGGGATCAGGCTGTCTGGGATCTAACACTGGCTCCATTACAAATAAGGAGAGTGAAACAAAGTGGAACAAAACAAAACAAAATAAAATGAGTGTTATCACTATTCTTTTTCTTTTCTTCCATAAAGAAATTAAAATGAGAGCACATCTGGTTTTGCCTTATAGAAATAAAAAATGACAAATTAACACATAGACACGGTCTTTCATAAAATGAGAACTTATAATAGGAATTCTTACCATAATCTTATTATCAACAATACATTTTTGATACTCCTCTAAAACAATCTCTTCTTTGGGACATGGTACTCATATTGTTTGGATAGCAATGCACAAGCAAGTGAGGATGCTCTTTATGCCCCCCCCCCACAAAATGATGTTATACTAAATGGTAGTGTAAGAACTAGAAAAATTTTTTTACTAAATTATGGAACTGCATAT